CACTTGCTAGTTTATTTACTAAATCATTTTTTTTGCCAAATTTAGTTTAAATTTATAACAATTTAGCAACACAAACTTATTGAGATGCCAATATCTATCACTTATTCTGTTTTGTATTTAGTTCATTCTTTGTTTCCTTTATCTCTCCCTCAGTTATAATAAACTACAGTGTTTACCAGTAGACATTGGCCAATTGACTACAGTCTCTCAATATATCACACAATTCACTAACTGTTCTACCACAGTCAATCACTGTCTCTCCCACCTAGAGGAACTGGTACAACACACACACACACCACATAACTTACATGTACATTAGGCCACTGCAGGGTTTCCCACAAAGCATGCTAAGTGAGCTAAACAGCATGAGCTGATAAGCACTACAATACTGTGCATGGCATTTGGAGCAACTTTAAAAACTTATAAAAAAATTCAAACTTGACTGGAATCAGCTCATTTTTTGTACATTATATGTGTATCAAAAAATGGAGAATTCTCTCCTAGCCATTTTTGACGAATTTTGGCCTGTGACCCGCCTCTACTAGAGTACAGGGGCTTTGCCCTGATTTTTGAGTTATTTTAAAAATTCGTTAAAAAATCCAATTTTGATCAGAACCAGCTTAAACTTGCTACACAACATAAGAGCATGTATGTGTATTAGGAAAAATTATAAAAATGAAGAATTCTCTCCTAGTCATTTTTTGACAAAAAATTTGGCAAACTAGGCCCAATTTTTGAGTAACTTAAAATTTTGTAAAAATCTAAATTTGAACGGGATCAGCTCAAAGTTGGTACACAGTATAAGGACATTTAAATTAGTGAAAAATTTTGGAGGGGATTAAATTTGGCTAATTTAGCTTTTTAATAGTCATATGCCAAAATAAAAATCTGCCATTTTGAGCACATTGCCAAATTAAAATTTGCTAATCACCAAAATTTAACAATTTGCCAAATTTTAGTCCCTTCAATGACCCTGTCATGAGACTTGTTTATTGTGTTTAGGATGTAAGTGGTAATTCCTTGGAGGCATTACCTGACGGTCTTGAGAGGTTGACAGTTTTCCTTTCCTCCTCCCCCTCTCTCCCCCTCAGTCTCTATTATTATCATTTAATAAGATTCAGACATTACAAGATGATAGACTCACTCACTTGTCTTCTCTCACTATATTAACTCTGAGAGAGAACAAACTAACAATGTGAGAATAGAATACACAATATAACAAATGTACAGTAACAATGATTAATAATAATAATAATAATAATAATAATAAGTAATTTTTAATTACATGTACATGTATGAATGATTGTTAATTAATGCACTGTTAATCCATAGATGATAGAGTAAATGACATTATCTATGGTTAATGTGTTATTGGCCATTGTTGGCCTCGCCTACGCGAGGTATAGGTAGTTGTTGTGTCTGTCTGTCTGTCATTCATTCTGTACAACTGAAATTTGTTTTTAATAAACAATAACTTTAGCACAGCATGTTTCAAGCTCCTAGATCTTTCTTTTTGGCGTGGAAAAGTCTTTCTTAACTGTTTTGTGTTGCTCAAATACAAGTGCTAGGTACAGAAGCTTCAAAGTAAGAAAATCGAGCAGTTGGGCCAAGTTTCGTTGTGTTGGCACTTTAGAGATAGATAGTAGCATTTTTCAGTAGATTAGAACATGGCCTTCAAATAATATGAACAGATTTCTCTAAATCTTACTTGATGAAGAGTTATACTTACTTGAAATTGTTGAGGTCACTCGTTTGTACAGCGCTAGAGCAACAACTTGCTGGGTTATAGGTACTAAAGTACCTATACTATCTCAAATATACAAAGGCAGCAACTTTTTTTGTCAGCAAGTTTATCATATATTGCTGATTAGTAAAGAAAAAGTGAAGCTTCTTTCTCACATGGTCTTCTTGCTGCCAATCATGCCAGTATGATGGAATGCCACACCTTTCAATCTACATGCATGGGAGGGGCTGGAGCTGCTTGCATGTATGTGCTGCAGTGCTGCTACTTCTGCAGGTATTCAAGAGGAAGTGCAACTGTAGGAAGCTAGTGTTGAGCAGACTCTCTTCATGCTGATAATCAAACAGCTATTGCAGTGTGGGCATGCACCATAGCAGCTATAGGGGCGAGGCCATGCACCGTAGGTGTCTCGTTTTATTAATGTTTTGTTGCTATAGGCTAC